TTTTGAGTGTAGGTTGTCTTGAACTTCAATTTTTCAAACATTCCTTTTCTGAATTTTAAAATGCCTATATCCCATTAATTGAATTTTTTTTTTCCTTTGGAGACAGTCTTGCTCTGTTGCCCAGGCTGGAGTACAGCGGTGCGATCTCGACTCACTGCAACCTCTGCCTCCAGAGTTCAAGTGATTCTTGTGCCTCAGCCTCCTGAGTAGCTGAGATTACAGGCGTGCTCCACCATATCCAGCTGATTTTTGTATTTTTTAGTAGAGACGGAGTTTCACCATGTTGGCTAGGCTGGTCTTGAACTCCTGGCCTCAAGTAATCCACCCACCTCAGCCTCCCAAGGTGCTGGGATTACAGGTGTGAGCCACTGTGCCTGGCTTTATTTAATTTTATCCTAGTCAACTCACTTCTTTCTTTGCAGGCACCACTCAAGTCTCATGTTCAGCAATACTATTTTTAAAATCATGAGTTTTATAAACAATATAATATACATTCAGACATACATATTATGTTAATACACTTTAAAATATTCAAATTGTTGTTTACTTGGAAAGTTATTCTGTGAAGGAAAGTGGGCATGTGTTGATATGGGTACCCATCAGAAACCATCTCGTATGCCTCAGTGGAATTCACTTTGTACTTGTAGAAACATTAGGCTCAACTTTCGCCTTCTCCTCTCCTTCCCCTCATTAATAACTCCTGTTTTCAGGAACCTCGGAGATGAGGGGCAGGAAAACTGCAGGCAATGTCAGAAATGTCTAGAGTCCAGCAAGCGAAGGGGAAAGGGGACGTGAAGTTCATGTGCTAATTATTTTGGGACATTGTTATGCTTTACTGAATCATCACAACTGCTTGCTGCCACGTAAGTAGGTAGAGCTCCCACTTTGCCGACGAGCCAATGAGGCACCCAGAGGTCAGGAGACGTGCCTAAGGATGCACAGCCAGCACTGCCTGGCTCCTCCTCCAAAGCCTTTTTTCCCTTGCTGCTGCTACTGCCTTGGGCGTCCTTGTGTGTTGGTTTTTATCTACATCTCTGATGATTAAAGAAGAGTGAATTCAATGCATAAGTGCTTCTTTAAGACTGTAGGATTAGTGGTCATTTTCCCATCATCTCAGCTCTGCCTCTTCCCTGCTGAGTAGTATCGGTCAAGATGGTCAAGATGATTAACATCTGTCATCCACAGATTCCTTATCTATAGGACAAGGGATAAAAGTGCCTGCCTTATGGGGTTTTGGCGAGGATTAAATAAGTTAATATACCTAAGTGCTTAGTAAAGTGTCAGCCACATAATAAACACCATATAATGTCTTTTATTATTATTTTTATTGATTTGGCTCCTAAATAAGTGCTCTTAGATGTGAAAGGTTGAGTTGTCTAATTGAAGGGTTTCTCTTTTATTCTTCACTTTGTTATCTGGTTCTTCCGAGTTTCTAGATTTGCATTGGTTTTTGGATGATCCAACATTAATTTAAGGTAGCTGACACCCTGACATGAAAGGATGTCAGGAGCGGGTGATAGGGCAGATGTGTAAGCTCCTGAGGTGTTGATTTTTGTTATTCTCTAAGGATAATAGTCAGTACTTGTTGGTTTTGGTGGTTTTCTGAGTTTGGTGGACGTCATACACTGTGTATACCAAACTCAGAAAATCACCTGTGGATTTTAAAATTTTCAGATATCTGGAGATGATTCTGATCTATTGGATCATGAGGTTCAGGCAACAGGCTGTCTTTCTCCAACTTCACATGGTGCTGACAGTCACCAAAATTTGAGAATCTCCAGTGTGCTATATTGTCTTTGGTTAGACTTGAGCTCGTATTTAAATGTATTAATAAAGTGACATATTTTTATTGACCATTTTTTATCTCCTAGGTACTACTTTCTGGTGAGAGAGATTGATGAGAATAAATCAAATAAATTAACAAGAAAATATAAAATAGCAATAAGATCTGTGATAAAACAGTGACGGTGTGAGTGACTGAGGTCCTCCTTTAGAGAGAGTAGTCAGGGAAGGCCTCTGAGGATTTGGGCTGGAGGCTAAGAAGAAGCCTGTGCCAAGAAGATCTGAGGTAGAGACTCGAGGCGGGGAAAACAGTGGTTGCAAAGGCCCTGGGGCAGAGAGGAGCATATGGCAAATAGGAGTCTGGTTTGGGGGCGAGGCAGAGGCACGGTATAAGGGGAGGCTGGATAGTTATCAGAAGAGATCAGATGACTAGAGCTTAGTAGGGCTGGGTAAGGAACTGACCTTTTATTCAAAAGGTCATGGGAGACACTGAAAAGTTTTGAGCAGAAGTGCAATATAATCTGATTTATATTTTTAAATAATTGCACTGGCTGCTATGTGGCGAATGGATTTTAGTGGAGGTGAGGGTGAATTAAAAAATGTTTTCAGCCGGAGAGGCTATAGTATGTTTTAGCACCCAGCCCTGTGGAAGGATTTCAAAATTAAAATCAAAAGTTCATCCTAAATAAGGACAGCAGGCAACGACGTCTCAGGACTCAGAATCAAGTGCTGCAGGGATTCTGTCTTGGGGACGGGGGTGAAAAGCGACAAATGAATTAACAAATGAACTAAAATCATGGTGTGCTTTTACTTCCAACCATTAAGCATTTTCAAACATGACTGTCCTGCCGCTTGAAACATCTGGTGAGTTCCCACTTGAGAATCTGAGAAAGCATTCGGGGAGGAGACAGTGGCACCCCAGCATTCAGGGTTGTTCACTAGAGAAACGGAAGTCTCTGTAACTTACCTCTTTGATGCACTCCCCAGGGCTACTCACAGACTTTGGAAAATTTATAGCAAGTTAAATAATTAATTGTGCCTTTTGATTTTTATGACATCTCTCTGGAAACTGCTGGGAACATCTGAACCTCTGTGTGGTAGAAACATGCATCAGATTCTCTCTGCATGGCAACACATGGCTCCCAGGTCACTGGGTCCCAGCTCAAAGGTCCCTGTGTCTTCGCAAGAGGTGCTAGGACACTGGGTTAGATTTGGGGGTGGGGGCTGGTCAGCCTGAGTTCGAGTCTCCCTATCTCTACTTGCTGACTGAGTTCCTATAGACAGGCTCTCTGAGTTTCACATCCTTCATCTGTAAAATCAGGATAACCATGGTATCTACCTGGTAGGGTTATCACGAGGAGCAAATGCCTGTGAAGTGCTTAGCACAGTCCCTGGTGCGGGGTCAGCATTCTAGGCAGAAGAGTACTTTTACTTCGCATAATACTCATTTGAAAATCCTCTATGCCCTTGCTCTTTAAGATGGGGTCCGCAAACCAGCAGTCACATCCCCGAGGAGCTTGTCAGAGTTAGAAATGCAGACTCTTAGTCCCCACCTTGGACCTGCCAAATCGGATTCCGCACTTGCACAAGATGCCAGGTGATGCTCATGGGCCTTCCAGTTTGGAAGTGCCCCTGCAAGCTAGAACATACAGGGAGGAGAGGGGGATCAGTTTTGATGACGAAAACCTGTTGGCAGCAGCATATTGGTGCAAAAGGACATCAGCCCCAGGATGCACAATATACCATGACCCTAACTAGCTGGGCGTTCCCGGACAACCACATCACCCCTCCAAGACCAAATTTCTTCATTTGTAAAATGACTCACCTGTTTTAGAGGTTTGCTAACGGGATAAAATGAAATAATGTGAAAATTGATATAAGAGTGAAAAGTAAGTTATTTTTGTCTTGTTTACATAGAAAAAAGACATCGTAATCCCTATAGCTACTCATATCACTTTCAAATAATTAGATTCCCCCTTCTCTACATTTACCCACTGAATGGCCATAGAAGAGTCCTGTGATTTAGTGTCTTGATTAAAATAATGGGGAATGACAGTGGCCCGGGAACCACAAACCTGGTATTTTTGGAAACTAAATGGGAGAGTTTTGTAGTCTGGCTAAAAGGCATCGCCCTAGAAAAGACTAGCACTGTGGTCAATGGAGCTGTTTATGCCGCTTACAAAGTCATGACTGAATTGCAGTGAAACATACCATGGCCGTGTGCAGGAGTCACCAGAGTGATTCCAGGTGGTATATTTCAATGTAGCACACATTTAGCAGCCGTAAAAGCTTTTTATTATTTCCAAACATCATAAAGCAAGAAAGGAATGGTTTTGCTTACATTAGCAGAAAATCTTCAAGAACAAAAGAACCCCAAGGTATGCTAGCACAAGATAAACACACAATTGCACCCCAACACACAGCTTAATATAAGAATTTGTGACGGGTAGATATGGGCACAGCCAGAAAGCACAAACTGAAGTTATCTAGGGCAGAAAAGGATCTGACAATGCCAGCTCTAGTCAGCCAGTCTCACCCTTTGCTCCCAGGAAGGAATTCCTGTAGTTGATAAGGTATAGACATTGATAATAGGGTCATCCAACTTTAACACAAAAGGGGAAAAGAACAAGCAAAAGGGGAAAAGAACAAAAGAAACCCTTTCTCTTTCATAGATAATATTGAAGAAGTCCTGTTATAGAGATGCAATTGCTATAAGCAAAAACAAGGGCTCCCAAGAAAGCCACACAGTAGTTCTACAGTTTCTCAAACTATCTTAAGCTACAGTAAAGCAATTTCTTGTGTGTAAGATACACACACACACACACACACACACACACACACACACACACGTACTGTACACTCAACCCATGATTTCCTTTCTTATTTTAAAGGCTAAAAGTAAATGATAGAAAAAAAGAAGTTATTTAAAAAAGAGTAATTTATACCCTAAAATAGCAAGCTATCAAAATATAAGTACACAAGTATATTCTGATTGTCCACAACACTTTCTCTCTTTCGTTAGAGTTTTGAAGGTTGTCTTAGACTTAATCCATAAAAACAAAATAACGACAAACACCAATGCAACAACAGAAAAATAGAAGTGGGTTCCATCCTTATGCTACCTTTGGGGGTGGGGACAACTGAAGGGATATGGGGGTAAGAAAAGGGGAAAACAGCATAGCATTGCTTCTTTCACAAAGGGACAGTTGTCTAACTGCAAATACAATAATAGAGTAGAACTCGGTCTCCTATGGAGTTATAAGTGCAAAGCTATCTATCCGTGTAGCTGGCAGCAGGAGGTCGTAGCTGTAACAGGTTTGCTTGCAAGAGATCTCAACCACCCTTATTGTTCATGAGAATCCTTCAGTCTGGTCTGACCTGGAGCGTGAAGACGTGGGTGTGGAGCAGATGAGCAGACAGGCGTCACACACTCTGGGTGTTTGGAAATGAGTGCAGAGAGCATGCAGAGAAGCCTTCGCTGATTTCTCCCAGTGACTATTTGGGAAATCAGAGTTTGTGACTTCCTCATCTTAGAATCCTTTCAGTGAGTCTGTTATTCACCATTTCCCCCTTTAAAAGGCTTTGTAAACTTAAAAACAAACAACAAGTACAATCATGGCTGTTAACACATTTTTATATCTTCTAAGTATTTTTTTTTTCTTTCTAAACATCTTGGGTGGATGGAGGGTCAAAAGTGACCCGACTGATGATCATTTCCATGGCCCTGCATCCTATCTCGAGTTCATGCGCTTGCAACCACAGAGAATCTCCTTAAAGGTGTTGCGCAGTTCCGGGCTCCGGAAGGCGTAGATGAGCGGGTCGATGACGGAGTTGCACATGATGAGGACCAGGTAGGTGTTGAAGTGGGCAGTGTAGCAGATGCAGTAGGGGTTGGTGGGGCAGGTGATGATGAGGACCAGGTGGAGGAAGAAGGGGGCCCAGCAGAAGATGAATACCCCCAGGAGGATGGTGATGGTGACTGCCCCCTTCATGCATGAGTGTTGCTGTGGGGCCACCCCGTCGGCAGGTGGCAGTGCTGCTATGCGCTTGACATGCAGCCGCGCAAAGAGGAACATGTGCACGTAGAGGGTGCCCATGAGAAGCATCATGGCGAAGAACATGGTGATGAGGCACACGATGACCATCTTGCTCTCCGAGTAGACAATGAACACCACGCCACAGATGCCGCAGCCGACCCAGATGGCCACGATCAAGGTGAGGGCCTTCCTCACAGTCATGATGCTGTGGTAGCGGAGCGCGTAAAAGATGGTGACGTACCTGTCGACAGCGATGGCCAGGAGGTTGCAGATGGAGGCCACCAGGGAGATGCAGGTCATGGAGTCGAAGATGTTGTCCATGTGCTGGATAAACTGATCCTCCAAGGTCAGGTAGTTGCTGTGGACGATGGCGATCATGATGGTCTCCAGGGCATTGGACAGGCTCACCAGCATGTCGGCCACCGCCAGGCTGCAGAAGAAGAAGTACATTGGGGAGTGCAGGTTGCCGTTCCTGACCACGGCCAGGAGAACCAGGATGTTTTCCAGCAGACTGACGATGCCCAGGGCCAGGAAAACCTCGGGCTTGATGAAGACCTGCTCACAGAACGGGCTGCTGCTCTGGTTGCCGAAGAAAGGGGCTTGGAGGTGCTCCGAGCCATTAGGTAGCGTTGGCTGAACAGAGGGCGGGCAGCACGAAGCATTCATTGCTGACAGAGGGCTGATCTGAGCTGGGGCTCCAGCAGGGTCCGTAGGAGGGAAGACAAAATCTCCCTCCAGATACTTCTTTTGGATGCTCATTCAATCTGAACTTAGAGTTTGTTCTCCCCTAGAATAAAAGGATGTCGAAGGTAGAGAGAGAGAGATGGTGAAAGAGGGTGGAGGAAGAGACAGAGAGAGAGAGAGAGAGATACACACAGAGAGAAGAGGGAAGAGAGAGAGAGGGAGAGTAGCTAATTAGTAGCTAGCATGCAAGTTCGTAGCTTGGAGACATGCGGAGAACTTTGCTGTTCCCGGAGGAGCAGTTTTGACCTTGTTTACATAGAAAAAATACATCATAGGGTCTCTTACCAGCAAGTCTTCCTTCTGTTTCCCTCTCACCCCTCTGTTTGTCTCTCCTCACTTCCCCACCTGGGAACAGAAAACCTGCCACCGGTTGCTACAGTTACAGCTCTTTTCATGGCAAGACAGGGGATGTGTTACTTGTCGCTAGAAGTGAAGGGAGAACGCTCAGGTTTTTTTATATTGGCCAAGGGCAAACAACTCCTACTTAATCTTCGGTGCAGCAGAATGACCACTGAGCATCGGGCACCTCTCTGACTGACAGCAGGTGCCTGGCCCTGAGGATTCTGCAGGGAGATGAAGAAGCAGACTGGTGCCCTCTGCAGGCCACACGGCTGCCTGCTTGCTGGCTTGGCCGAGCCGTTTGTGTTTGTCATGGAAACTGCCACAGGCATCCACTCGTCTGTTCATTTGTTTGTTTATTTGTTCATTCATTTGTTGTTGTTGTTTAGCAAACATTTATTGAGCACCTACTATGTGTCAGGTCTCTGCTGAGTGCAGGAAACAGAGTGGTGAGCAAGACAGCAGCCACTATCTCAGGCTTTCCCGAACTCAGAGTTTGGGGTGGAAGAAGAGGAATCAATGAATGCTTGAATCAGGAAAGTCCAGGAAACCAGGGATGCAAAGAGGAAGAGCCCAAACCTGGACTGTCAAAGAAAGTTCCTGGAGGAAGGAGCACCTATGATTTGACTTCAAGGAGGAAGAGGCCATATCCAGTTTGGGGTGGGTGGTGGGGTGGGGCTGGAGCTGGAGGAGGTAGAAGAGGACTCCAGGCAGAGGGAATCAAACGTCTGCAGCCTGGAGGCAGAGAGCACGCTGGTCATAGGAGTCATCACAGATTGTGGATGTGGAGATCCCACCTGACCCACGGAGTCAGAATCACCCAGGTGTAAGACCTGAACAAGTGTGTTTGCAAGTTTTGACAGCTGAGCTGGGGCATAGTCGCAGTTGAGCTCCACTGAAAAAGAATCTTGGGCTTTTGAAAGTGCTGCAAGTAGTCTGCTCTGGTCAAAGCATGGAAATAGGAGACACGGTCTGAGATATGAGGCTGCACAGGTTTCTGAAAAAGCTGAGAATTGCCTGAATCCTGCAGGACAGCCTCAGCCAGATGTGGGAATTTGGACAGTACCTTGACAGCAGTGGGGGCTGTGGAAGAAACATAGGTAGGGCAGGAATGAGATGGGGTCTGTGTTTTAGGAATATTCCTGGTTGCAGCGTGGAGAATGAAATTAGAAGGAATGAGCACGTAAGCCAGGGAGTCCGGGGCAGAGGGTGCTGCAAAGACCCAGGGTGAGATGATGGTGGCCTGGAGCAAGGGAGTGGCCATGGGGACTTGGAGGACTTGGAGGGTGGTCAGAGAGATTCAGGAGGTTGGATAATGTAGCTTCAAAACTGATGGGTTATGAGATCATGGGAGAGGGAGCAGTCAGAAACACTTCTACTTCTTTCTTATATAATGGGGAGGATGGCGATGTTTTAAGCTGGAAAATGTGAAAGGCAGAAGTTAGCAGGTGGCCTACTAATGTAGTGTTGTTCTTGGAAGTATGGTTTAACGCTTGGTCCATGTTAGATCTGATTCCCCATATAGATCATATGACCTCAGAAAACACTGAGTCGTCTCACCCCTACACACACACACACACACTCACTCTAGATGAATTGATCCATCTGTCCATCTAACTATGTATATGTGTGTAGGTGTGAGAAATATTAAAAATATGCATATGGAAATAGAAGAAAACTTAGGATCCTTGGGGTGGAAAGATCTTAAGCAAGATGAGCAATCTAAAATTTAGTATGGAAAAACACCCTGAAACTAATTTAAAAGAAAAACAGGATGAAAACATTTGCTATAGGTAAAGTTACTATCTCTTACTACTTTCACATGAATTAGAAAAAGATAATTTACCTCCAAGAAAATTGGGCAAAGGATATAAATAATACTTTACTGAAGAGGAGATGCAAATGGTTAATAAACATGAAAAGATGTGAAGCCGTCTAGGAAGTTGGGGAAATGCCAGTCAAAATAAGATTTTAGTATCATTTTCCCAGCTAGATTGACAAGAGATAAAAAGATGCTAAATTCAGGTGAGAATATTGGGAGGACACTCTCATGCATTTCTAGTGTTTGTGAAAAGTTTCACAATTTGACAGTTTTTACTAAAATAAAAAAATGCATGTCGGTATGAGTTTCAGTCTATGAACTGAGGGGCATGAGAAATACTTTTGTTTATTTGCTTTTTCAAAAAAATATTTTTGTCAAGAGCATGAGTTTAAGTTGCCCTGAAGATCAACAGAGCGACTTAATTTCTGATGCCAAGCCACTATTCTTCCAGATTGGAAAAAAACACATTCTTAATCCTTTTGGGAACTTCTCTTACCCTTGGGGTCACATCCAGTCTGTGGTTTCAAGAGCATGAGTCATACATGCAAAGCTAGATTATAAGGCAGGGACCATTTGTTATCTACTAGGTCTTTTCCTGCTCTGTGCTTGGCACGCACTGAGCACTGAACACCTTTTCTTGCTTTCATTCTTGGTTGTGTGCATCCTTCAAAGAGAGCAGATGGGACCTAGTACTTAAAACCTGTGTCCTCAGAGGTATCGTCATCACTAATGAGCATTTATTTGGTCTTCTCCAAACACTACTTCCCACTTTCCTGGGGGAGTTGCACAGATGCAGCATTACATTTTAATTGAATCTTGTGTAAATGAATTGGCTTTATTAATAACAATTGCCAGACATGACAGTCTCTGTCAGTGTTTACCGTATGTTGTTGGCATATGTGGGGGTGTCTGTTTTGAATCAGTTATAGTAAATGTAACAAGAAGATTCTTATTCTAGGAGATAATCCACCCAGGTGGTCTCTGTGCCTGAAAAGTTCTTCCTCAATTTTGTGCCTGGTACACCTCCTTATTCTTCAAGATCCAGCTTAAATGTCAACTATTTTTTACAGCTTTTCTTAAATTTCATACACTAATTTACCACCCTCTCTCCTTGGTGACAAACTGACAGGGTTCAGCACTCCTTCCTCACTCTCAAAAGTACAAACAACAAGGGGAAAAAATTGTGGACTGGGTGCGGTGGCTCACGCCTGTAATCCTAGCACTTTGGGAGGCTGAGGCGGGTGGATCACCTGAGGTCAGGAGTTCAAGACTAGCCTGGCCAACATGGCGAAACCCTGTCTCTACTAATAATATAACAATTAGCCAGGTGTAGTGGTGCGCACCTGTAATCCTAGCTACTTGAGAGGCTGAGACAGGAGAACTGCTTGAACCCAGGAATCGGAGGTTGTAGCGAGCTCAGATTGCACCCCTGCATTCCAGCCTGTGCAACAGAGTGAGACTCCATCTAAAAAAAGAAAAAAAAAGAATTGGACTTTCTCAAAATTAGCAACTTTTGTATTTTAAAAGATGCCACAAAAATAAGAAGAGAACACAAAGAATGGGAGAAAGTAATTACAAATCAGATCTCTGATAAGGGACACGTATCTGGAATACATAGAGAACATTTACAATTTAATATAACAAAAAGACAAACAGCCCAATTTAATGATAGGCAGCAAAGGATTTGAGTAGACATTTCACCGAGGAAGATATGTCCAACAAGCAGATGAAAAAAGATTCAATATGATTAGTCATTAGTGAAAATGCTAAAATACACTAAAAACCATTGAATTGTCCACTTTAGGTGAATTGTATGGTATATTGACGCTATCTCAACAAAGCTGTTTTAAAAAACGACATGCAGAATATTGCATAATTAAGGGTCACATCCATGCCACGAAAAGGGGGACAGTTTGGCCAGTGGTCATGTTAGAGCACAATGATTAGATTTTATTATAAATATGAACTTTTCATGAGGGGGAGATGCTGCTGATGCCTGTGTCCCTGCACCCAGCCTACCTCTGATTTCAGCCGCCATTTGCTGGACAGCTCCGCCAGTTCCCTGTGAGCTCAGATTCAACTTGCACAGCCAGAGTGCCACTTTAAGGGTGACAAACACATTCTGCCCCAGAGTCTTCCCTGGTGTGTGTGTGTGTGTGTGTGTGTGTGTGTGTGTGTGTGTGTGTGTGTGTAAAATTCCTCATCTGATAAAGTTCAACCAGGAAATGAGGGGGAGTAAATGCCCCCCCGGGGCAGTGCTCAACTAATGAGAGCCAGAGGCAATAGATACATTCTTCAGCTCCCCCATCCTGCAGGTGGACAATGGAAGATGCTGTGTGTGCTTCCCAGATATCCCCTCAACACCCATCACCTACTGCAACATGCTTGATAATGTGTCTTATAACTGGCTTTTGCTCCGTATCCATCTCATTCTCTCTAAGCCCTCATGCCTGTTTCCTGGGATTGCCTCTCAGATAAATTACATGCTCCCAAGTCCCTGTAACAAGTTCAGCTTTAGGGGAAAAGGGTCCAAATTAAGGACTACAAAACACCTCCTGCGCACCAGGCTTCTTTGGCATACTTTTTCCCTTGCTTGATTACTTATTCCTAGAAGGCAGGGCTGTGGGTTGTCCACGCAATACCTATTATCTTCTTCCTCACTAATGGACCCCTGCTTTACTGGGGCAACAGCATGTCCAGCTGCCACACTAATGTGCCAGCCTTCCTTGAAGACCAAGTGGCTACATGATCCAATACTTGACAGTGATGTAAGGGAAGTCTTCTATGGAAGTTCCGGGGAGGCAATTCAAGTAACCCAGCCAGCAAACCTCAACTGGCACAAACTCTTCTGCTCT